TATATACATGACATCCAAGAGACCTAAATTCAGCACCAGCCTCAATAGATCATATTAACCCCGTTCACCTGGCTCATCCGCAATCCAAAAAGGATTTTCTGGCTCAATACTACGCCAGGCTCTCCTTAGCGGACATAGATGCGGACAAAAAGTCTCCCATTCCTGCAACTGCCCCTTCCACTATTACGGTTGCACCTGAAGCGCCAGCCTAGCAATCCTAGATTGTCATAGAGACCACGGGCACGGGAGCCATAGGACTCATCATCACCACAGTCACGGGCATCGCGGGCACATCCACGCGCACTATAACCGGACCGGACGGAACCGTCCTCGTCCCACCTCCCATCCCCGCCCACCCCGGCTGTGAACTCTCCCCGCAAACGGCCAAAGCGGCGAAAGACTATGCGATCGGGCGTTGTTGCGACTACATGAAGGCCAAGAATCTGCTCAGAGACAAGGTAAGCAAACGAGCAGCAAAAAGTTAGATGAGGAACTGGAAACTTACTATCACTAGATCGTGGCAAAGGTCCCCGAGAACACTCAGGAGAAGCTCATGGAATTGTTGCAAAATGAACTTGATCGGATGAGCAGCAAGGAGGATGATGATCTCGACCTTGACTCCGACACGGAGGAAGGTGACCGGACCTTAGAGGGTTAAGATCAGAGGAAGATTGGAAACCATAACGCCGCATAACGAACGATGTTCGGTGTCACAGCACTGGCGGATGGGTCCCGGCCATCTGGGCCCTGGGTTGAAACCCTGGGCGCCAGGCGCGCCTTTGCACGTTTTCCTCTTTTTCTTCTTTATCTTGTGATTCTACTATAGACCTAGAATTAATGTGTTCAGCTTTTTTTCTCGTGACCACGTCGCTCGTGACATTTGGAAAAAGCTGAAAAGCTGAAAAGCTGAGCCCTACCTGCGCCACGACCCTTGCCCAAGTCGAGTTTATTGATTGGCGCCCTGAAGTCTCTGGGTCCAGGATGCCCTGCCTCTAAAAAGAAATGTCCTTTGGGCTATTGGCCGTGTAGTTGGGAGGGAGCCGCCAGCCATCCTACCCCTGATATGGTGAAACAGAAACAGATTCAACACGATGCCACATGCTCCACCATAGCCTTGAGAAAACATAGTGCTCTAGTTTCTTTTTATTTTGTCCTTGGGGGCAGGATAGAGGAATCTCCAGCATTTTTACAAATTCAATCCATTGATCGTCAACCGTATAACATTCACTGCCTCCAGGGCAACACGATTACTCTCGAGTACCTCATCTATGTCGCCTCGCTCAAGACCTTCGTTCCCTAAAGCTACGATGTCTCAACGACTTCACAATACGGAGGGTTGGGAAGATGATAAGGGCCAAGAGCAGTCTCGCCCTGCACCTTTGCAACAAATCTCCGCCGCCACCACTATGTCCGCTACCCGTATGCCCGCCCTCGGGCTCCCAGCCGCTCCAGCTACCGGTTCCGCCGATATAGAGACGTCCGCCGGCTACAAGTTTTTGTGGAAACAACTCTTCAACAAACTCATCCACTTCTTCCTATCTAAATTGGACTGCGTGGATAACAAAAGGCCGAAGCAGGTGGAAGTAGGCTTACTTCTTTTCCCTCTACGACATTTCAGAATAACGCTAACACCTATAAAGAATCTATATTCTAAACTTCCTGAATCACCTAGCCATATTCGCTTGCTTCAACTATTGCCGTCTAAAAACGAGGACGCCGCAATACACTGTCGGCTCTTCTGCACCGCATTGGACTCAAAAGGCACTCGTCCGTACGAGGCCTTATCCTACGTGTGGGGCTCCGAGGCCAAGCCTTGTTCCATCTCTATAAATGGGTGCGACTTGCCCATCAGAGAAAACCTTCACGCAGCGCTATTACATCTTCGAGATCACTCCATTGAACGAATTATATGGATAGATGCCATTTGCATCAACCAGGATGACCTAAAAGAAAGAGGACACCAAGTTCAATCTATGGCAAAGATTTACGCTAAAGCAAGTCGCGTAATTGTTTGGCTTGGAAAGGAGGCAGCCGGTAGCGACCAAGCGCTCGAAGAAATACGCATCGCAGCCGAGCGCGACCAAGCGCTCGAAGAAACGCGCATCGCAGCCGAGCTGCCTACAAAGCGATTAGACAATAAAGCGGGAATCCTTACACTGCTTCAACGACCGTGGTTTCAGCGCATCTGGGTAAGGGAACTGATGTCAAAGTATTATGACTAAGGAAACTAACAGATTGATGCAGGTGCTTCAGGAAGTTGCCGCGGCTCGCCATATCCTGATCAAGTGTGGTTCTGCTAAGGTTGACGGATTTGCATTCTGCTTAGGCCTGAAAGCATTAAACCTGTCCAATGAACTCCCCGCAGACCTGTGGGCTCGAATCCTTTCGGTAACCTACCTTATAAGGGGCGCAATCTTCCGGTCTAAATACGCGACCAGTCAGTCAGACAACTTTTCTCTTGACATACGCCCTCTGGGTGAACTAATAGAGATGTACCACACCCGTGGAGCTACGGATCGGCGCGATAAAGTATATGCCTTACTCGGTATGAGCTCTGATAATCCAACCGCAGCAGGATTATTCGCCGACTACGATATTTCGTGGAAACAACTCTTCAACAAACTTATCCACTTCGCTTTATCTGAATTGGTCTCTGTAAACGGCCTTTCGGACGATAGGGAGATTGCCATCATTGAGGGCAAGGGCTGCATTCTTGGCGAAGTGTCCTCGGTCAAGAGAAATGCTATTTGGGAAGACAGACAAGATGTGGCCATTACTTGGAGGAATGCCCCCAGCTATATTTGCGTGAAGGAAGCATGGGGCTTTTGCTGGACCCTCCCGACCACGGTAAAGTCCGTCCAAAAGGGAGATGTCGTCTGCCTTCTTCAAGGAGCGTCGAGACCCACGATCCTCAGGCCATACAACAATCACTGGGCGGTTATCATGATTGCAGTTTCCCCAGCAGGCGATCCACAAGCTACGACCGGAGATATCAAACAATCGATAACGGTCTTTCCACACAATTTTCTACTTATCTGGAATTGGGATATAGATCCAAACAAGCAGCAAGATAAAAACAACTACGACTACTTTGCAAGCGTTCCAGAGCATTCAAAGACAGTGTTGGAAGGTTGTCGAAATGCGGCGACTAGGATACGGAATATTAGATTGGCATTACAAGAGGTGGAACAGTATGGAGTTGCAGTGAAGAATCTTCGGGAAGAAACGGCGGTTCTTGAGAGGGCATTGAGGAGCATGAGCAACCTAAAAAAGACTTGCCTAGGTCCCGATGATTCAGAAAAGGAAGATGCAAAAGAAACAATGGTAAATCAACTTATTGAGGACAAGGGCCGATGGACGCTTCTATGCTTAGCGGCAGAAAACGGGCATGAGACGGTCGTAAAATTGCTTCTCGACACCAGCAAGGTCAACTTGCATAGGGAGGAGCTACAGACGGTGCTGTGGCTTGCGGAGCAAAAAGGCTATGAAGCGATCGTTAAGATGCTTCTTGATACTGGCAAGGTTGATGTAAGTGCTAAGAATGAGAATGGACAGACAGCGCTACATCGAGCGGCGATAACTGGGCATGAGGTAGTCGTTCAGCTACTTTCACCGTCGAGGTCGACTTGCATAGTAAGGAGCTACACAAAGTGCTGCATATGGCGGCAAGGAATGGGCAGGAGGCGGTTGTTAAGCTGCTT